AAAAAAAAAAAGAACCCCTAAAGCCTAGAAGGAAATGTAAGTTTTAATAGTAAGCATGTGTTTATATTTCCTTGTGTTGTATATGTCTGAATCTTCTGCGATAAGCATGTGATACATTAGTAAAATACAGTATGGGCAAATAAAACCTATTCAACAAAGTGATTTAAAACATAGCATTAATTTTAAAGAATGAATTTAGTATTGAATATGGGAAAAAATGATTCACCTAAACACTACAATTTGACCTTGAATCTTCCATGTCAACAAAGACTAATACATGTATTACAATCTAGAAGTCCTCTTCTGGGTACCCAAGTGTTTGCGAAAGAAGGATATAATTTGTTCCCATGCATCTATCTGGGCCTTTGAGTGAGCCCTCATTTCCCCACCCCACATTACAGCTTTGTTTAGCAATATGTGCAAGGAAGCTGGGCACATGGGGAAGTAGGGAGGCTCAATGTAATGCCCAGTCCCAGGATAGGAGATGATCTGGGGCTTTCCCTTTCCATGAGCCTGTAGCCGGTCAGAGGCCGTTTGGGCATATAACTCGCTCCTCCAGTTATGATCATCTTGGCCAACGATGAAGAGGATGGGCCCCTGGGCCTTCTCTATTGGAATCATACTGGGGTTTTTATACCCTCCTACAAGATCATTCCGTATATCTACGATATCCAGAATGCCTGAGAAAGCCACCTTGGTTCTCCTCAGGTCAAAGCCCAAGGGTGGGATCCTAGTCTGCTTGTATTGAATGGTTCGGTTCCCACTGAACCCAGAGCCATTGATGGAAACTGTGGCTGAGATGTTCTTCAAGAATGAGGCCATTAAGAGACAAATATCAGCTCCCAAAGAAATGCCCAGAAGCCCAATTCCTGGGCCCTTTACCTGGAAGAAAAGAAGAAAGAGTCAAGAATGTACCCAATACAAAAGTGCTTGCCAAACAATGCAACTAGAGATGCTTCTAGTGCCAACCTGTGAGTTGTTCATATTAACTAAAGGGAGTGTTTCCCAAGTACTGAATATTTGCCTAAACACAGAACAAACAAATCATATTCACTGTCAAATTTACTAATCAGTTATAAATGCTCCAAAATGATCATCTAGTAGAGAAGACTGAGCCACAGCAACCATCAAGTTCTGAGCCTCATTCAAAGTGAAATTGATCTACGTCTTTTTTTGGCGGAGGGGGGTCCGGTCGTGGGGCCTGAACTCTGGGCCTGGGCGCTGTCCCTCAGCTCTTCAGCTCAAGACTAGCGCTCTACCACTTGAGCCACAGC